CTTCATCTGTGAGCTGAACTGTTTTACTGTTAAATTTATGAGATGTAAATTCAGATAAATGTCATGTCATGGGATGTCATAGGTCAGAATCACATGAGTGTAAAATTATTATTTGCAGCACAAAAATGTATAGGTCCACGTTTATGTATCTTTAGATCTTTTTTATGTTCTAATTAACATAATTATTAACATAATTATATAAAATTATGTTGTCAGTGCCCTACAAATTAACTGGTTCTAGTACTTTTTTGTCCCTAAAACTGACAGAAAAGGATAAGGCCTAAGAGATTTCTTAAGCTGTAATGGAAAAAAAACAAAAAAAACACAGACAACAACAACAAAAAATTACTGATTATTTTTTTCTGGTGATTAAAGAGATGTTTAAAAGTCTCTCTCCCTCTCTCTCTCTCTCTCACCCACCCCCTCACTCACCCCCACACTCAACACACACATTCACCCCCCCCCACACAGAGGCAGAGTGAGATCAGATGTCTGATAGTTTTTTTAATTTTCTGTTATCCATAGAGCGTTGTAAAGTCGTGAAACTATGTATATTTCCTCAGAATGACTTGCTCTCTGTATGTAAAAAGTTTTGAAGTGTTTGGAAACTGCAATTAAAAAAATATAAGAAAATTACTACTATCTTTTTTTACTGTTACTTTAATAAATCGCCATTGCAACACCGTTCAAGATATCCAATATCCGTTCGCAATTTAGTATCTTGACAAAGTTGGGTGTGAACTGCTTGTTTCTCCTGGACGGAGTATCTAAAATTCCGCTGCCTGATTTTTCCAAAAATCCACATTCAAAGCAAAATAGCTGACTTCCTGTTGGTCGTACCTGATGACTGTAAATTAGAAAGTTGTCCGTCTTCATGAGCACAATGTATGTACCGAGTTTGGTGTCTGTAGCTAAAACTAACCCCCCAAGTTTTTTAAAAAGGTGGCGCTATAGAGTGCCTCCTCCACGCCCTTTTATGAGCTTTTGCCAGTGTCTATCTATCATTAATATTGATATGTGTGTTGAGTTTCAGGAAATTCTAAGCATATTATCTGCCTCAAAATCACCAGAAAAGAATATTCAAGTTTGACACGTTGCCATGGCAACAATATTTTAGATATCAATATCCCCTCAACAGTTTTACATCGGCTGTGTTTTGACATTATTCTCACCAGGGGCAAACCGTTCGAGATATCAAAAATCCCTTCGCAATTTAATATCCCCAATGTCTTGAGATCATGTTCACCGAGTTTGGTGGCAATCGGTTGGAAATCCTCAGAGGAGTATATCAAATTCCAGAGCATGCGCTTTTTAAACAGCCCTAAATAGCCAACTTCCTGTTGGGCGGAGCCTATGACATGCAGTATGAAATTTGTTCAGCTCAATGAGATCTATATGTGTACCGAGATTCATATGAATACATGCAAGTATGTGTGAGATATACATCAAGTTTTCTGACTGTGTTTCAGGGGGCGCCATAAAGCCCCTGTGACACGCCCGGGTCCCAGCCTCTGCGGCGTCCTAATGGCCGCAGGTTCCAACGCGTATGCTAATTTTCAAGAGTTTTTGAGCACGTTAAGGCCCCCAAAACCCCCCGGATAGTCGATAAAAAAAAAAAAAATTATCCTTAGGAAATCAATAGGGCCCTGTGCCCTAGTGGCTTGGGCCCTAAATATTAATAATAATAATTATAACTAAAAAAAAAAACAGGCCAGCGGGCCAAATAATTCTCCTGGTGCCCCCGATGACCAGTCCGGGCCTGCAAATAAGTTATCAGTAGGAATGCACAATATATCAGTTCCATATTGGTAATCAGGTGATATTAAACTTTTTTAACACATTCATTGGTATGAATCAGTATTGGGGCATATATTGGTTTATACTGGATATTTAACTGTTCATGCTCATATGCCATATTAGATTACCTTTGCTATCATCAATTCTAACACACACAGAGTGAATCTTTAAAAACACTAAGAATTTAACAACATTTAAAATGTAATGTTTAGTAAATTAATATACACTACCATTCACAAGTTTGGGGTCAGTAAGACTTTTTTATTTTAATAAATTAATACTTTTATTGAGCAAGGACACATTAAAATGATCAAAAGTGGCATTAAAGACTTTTACATTGTTACCAAAGTTTTCTATTTCAAATAAATGCTGTTTTAAAAAACTTTTTATACATCAAAGAATTGAAGAAAAAAAAACATGTTTTCCCAAAACGATTAAGCAGAACAGCTGTTTTCAACATTCATAACATAAATTTTATAAAGAAAAAAAGAAATATAGAAAAAGACATGTTTCTTGAGCAGCAAATCAGCATATTCGAATCATGAGACACTGAAGACTGGAGTAATGATGCTGAAATTTAGCTTTGCCACCACAGGAATAAATTACTGTATTTTAATCAAATAAATGCAGCAAATAAATGCAATAAAATTTACTTTAAAAACATTTGGAAAATCTTACTACACCAGTATTTTGTGTTTTTTAATGTTGTAATGTTTAAATTCACTTAAAATGAATGATTATAGTTTTTAGTGTTTTTTTTAAATTTATTCAGACAAACCCGTATTTTAATATCGAACATAACATGAAAAAATGTCAACATCAGACAAAAATATAATACTTTTCATCTCTAGTTGTTCTTTAATATATATTATGCAGATGAATTGTGACTTACTCAGAAGCATGGTTTCTATGGTTGCGACTTGTCCATGACATTTGAATCCTCAAAATGTTCATTGTACATGTTGAATCGAACCACTCCTCCCAATCACCTCAGACAATAGTTAAGCAACCTGAGTAGAACACAGAAATGTCACACGATACCATTTCACTATAAAATAAATGTCTGTCATAAGATTCCACAACAATTAACAGACTGGTTGTTCCAGAACCTATGCTTATATTCGTTAAAAAGATAAATATTCTCACCTAGTGTAGATCTGGAGAGCGTCTTCTGCATGTCCATCTCCACCACATGTGCATGAACCTGTGTATGCATTAGAGTGGAAAGTTCTGCTGTGTCCAACCAGGGGCTTGTCGGGATTTTTGATCATTTCCCCCAGCAGGAAGCCACTTCTACTGTTTTTGAGCAGCAACATCCTGAAGCCTTTCTCCTTCAGAACAAAAACACCCTCCTGCCTGCTGGTTATTATGTGAGGCAAAGATATGAGAGAGTCCAGGCTGTTCTTTCAGACGGAAGGGCCACTGAGAGACAAGCTGTAACACTCTTATAGCCGTTTCCATGTCCCCTGTGACACCCTTCTACCCTGCGCCCCCTGCTAGCTTACTGGCCTGCATTGGAATTTTGAATGGTGTATCTAAACAATGTAAAAGCAAAGTTCCCTAACAATAGAAGTTTTAAATGCCAGTGTACATTTATGAACAAAAGTAATCCTAGGGAAATTTTGGTTTTGTGATGCATACCTTGCATGCTTAAATGAAATTTATTAAAACATGATTCATTTTTAAACATACATGTTTGTTAAGAGCGTTAGGAATGCTGCTGATTCTGATTATTCTGCAGATGTGAACATGTGATGGTAAATGAATGAAAGCAGGAAAGAATTCATGACCTGAGATAAGAAATACCAGGACGTGGATTAGAACTGAAACAAGCAAATGATGATTTAAAGGGGTCATATGATGCGATTTCTATTTTTCTTTTTCTTTAGTGTGTTATGTAGCTATTTGTGCATGTGTAAGATCTGCAGAGTTACAAAGCTCAAAGTCTCCCACAAAAGGATTTATTCTATCTAAAAGAGAAGGCTGATCCAGACCTCAGCCTAAAACGGCTCGTTCTAACACGCCCCCACATGTCTACGTCACCATGTGGAAATATTTGCGTAATGCCGCCCAAATGTTCATGCAAAGAAAGAAGGCGTGGTTTCAGGAAC